ATTAAATATAATATATATAATATATAAAATGTATATAAATAGAAAAAGGAAGATCAGATCTTGTAACAAGTTCTACTGCGTAATAAAGATTGTCTTTCTTGATAAAGTTTGGTTTGGTGAGAATATTCCCAGTATAGTGCAGTAAAAGAAATTACTGCACGCAAAGTAACTTGATAGAACGCAGACCGATGGACTGATCTGCGTTGGCGTTACCAGACTCTGGCCAAATTCACACGCCTCTTTTGAGAAGCAAGAATCCGCCCAAACGTGACACGACGTGAGTCAGAATGAAGCGACTGACTCGCCGTGTTTTCACCGTAACAATATATAAATGTATATAAATACAAATAAATAAATTAAATTTTGAATAACAGGTTCTACTCGCACAATAAAAATTATTTTTCTTGATAAAGTTTGATTTGGTGATAATGTTTCCAGTATTGTGTAGTAAAAGAAATTGCTACACGTGAAGTAACTAGATAGAATATAGACTAATGGACTGATTTGTATTGGTGTTATAGACTCTGATCAAATTTATATGCTTCTTTTAAAAAGAAAATTCTCTTGAGAATTACATAACACAAGTTAGATTGAAGTGATTAACTCATTATAATTCCATTGTAACAATATATAAGATTAATATAGTCTTAATATTTTACAAGTTATATATACTGTATATAGTATTGTAATTGAAATTAATTATAAATTTGTAATTATATTATAATTGTTTAATTTTGTTTATTAGTAAATTATAATATATTTTTTAAAAAAGTAAGAAAATTGTATCACTTTGATTTATTTTTATTGTTTATTTGAAGAAATTGGTTGATTTATTATATATAATTACTTGATTATTTTCATTTTTAATAATATAATATCTATTTAATTAATATATAGTCTGGTCCAAAAAAAACCAAAAAAATTTTTTTTTAGAAAGATCACTATAAGTTATACAATTGCCATTCAATTAAAAATTTTTTTGTATAAAAAGAAAAACCAAGAATTGTGTATTACGTTACCAATTAATATTTTTTTAATCTTTAACTAGTTTTGTGAAAAGGGTCTCTAGAATATCAGTTGAAAGAAAAAACTGTCAGTGTAAGATTCTATTATATTTGTGGAAAGACAATGTATGTAATGTAAAAAAAATATATGTACTCACAAAGTTTCTTCTTTCAATTATCTATAAAACTTAAAAAGCTTATAAGTAAGTCAGATTTAATGAATATGTGGTGGAAATGACTAGTTAAAAAAGATCAACAGAGCTTCTTTAAAAGCACTTGGGCAGTACATTCATTGGGACAACTTTTTATCAACAAGAAATCTTGTAGTTAAATTGCTAGAAAGAGGTATAGAGATGTCATATCAAACTATTGGATGATATTTAAAGGAAATTGGATATTTGAAAAATCTTCCACAAGCTATTTTTATACCTACCAAAGTGCATAAACAAAATCAGATATTGTGAACACAAAATCATCTTAGTGATACATGGAAATAAATATTTTTTTTTGACAAAATGACATTTGAATTCTATCAGAATATTGTTAAATGTTGGCACAAGTGTGTATGACTATTTTATAGTATGTTAAAAAGCTGGATAAAGATCTTTACTTGGAGAGGGTTCTATATTAAAGGAAAATTAACTTTATTTCTTTTTCAACAAATTATAGATACAAGTTTTTATGTGAAAATTCTTTGTAAACATATTTCAGAGATTAAGGGAATATTTGACAACAAGTAATGCTTCCAATAAGATAATGACCTGAAGTATATAAGTTGCTTGGTGAAGACTTTTATTGAAGAAAATATGCTAGACATTATTAACTAGCTATTGAATAGCTTCGATTTAAATCCAATAGAAAATTTATGGGGTATTGTCAAGAGCAATGTAGAGAAACATATGCCAAAAAATCATGATGAATTAGAATAATATATAGGTGAAGAATAACAAAAAATTCCAGAATCAGTTTAAATTGGATTGGTTCGATTATGAAGTGACGTTGCAAGCTAATTATAAAAAGTGAAGGAGAATGTATCTTATATTAAATTTTTTTTTAAAAAAATAAATTTAATAAATTTTGTATTAAAAAAAATTTACATGATTCCATATAATTGTTTTTATGCAATAAAAAAAATAAAATTCTATTTTTTTTTGAACCAGACTGTATAATCATTGTTATAAAAAGTAATAAAAAAAATATAAAAGATATTTGATTTTAAATAAAATAATTTAATATTCTTATTTTTTATAATATTAATATTTTTTAATTTAAATCATAAGAAATAGTTTTATTTTAATCCAGTAAAAAATATTTTTCAATATTGATTATTTTGTGAAAATAGGTATAAAACTTTGGATAATCAATATTTTAAATAGAAAAGCTAATTAATAATCATAAGTATTTTTTTAATAATTTTGGTTTTTATTGAAATAGAAAAAATTAAATAGTAATAAAAATGAAATCTTTAATGATTTTAATAAGTTGAAAAAAATTTTATTTGTTAAAAATAATGTTAATTTTTTTTCTTTTATTGTATAAAAATTTAAACAAAATTCAATTTCTAATTAATTAAATAAAAACAACATATTAATAGAACCTAGATATATTAGTTTTTTAATTAATAAACAACAAGTTAATGAAATAAATTTTTAAAAAATTTATCAAATAATTATATTTTAAGATTCAAATAGATTTAATATATAGAAAGAATAAAATAACAAAATAATTATGGAATCGCAATATATACTGTATATAATCTAATAAATTAAACAAAATAAGCTTTTTAAAGAAGTTATCAATGTAAATATTAATATGTAATATAATTAATAGTTTACTATATACTTATAAATTATATATTGCTTAATACTAGTCATCTTACATTTGATAGTTTAAATCAATTAAATTTTATAAGCATTGATAAAATATTTGAATTTATTTTTGAATATTTAAAAGATTATAAAAAAATATTATTTAAAAAACAAATGATTTTAATTAAAGAAAAATTTGCGTAGTTGTATAAAAAAATACTGTTATATTATGTCATGATTTCATTTAACAAACTTTTATTAAATATTTCAAATCATGACAAAGAATTACTGTATATTTAAAATTGGAATTGTTATATCTTTTTTAAAATTTTTTATTATTTAAGGTTTTTAAATTATTTTATTTCTTAAAATGTTTGAACAAAAACAAAAAATATCACAAATTTAATATGTTAATTGTAAGTTCTAAGATACTTAAAGGGATCCTAAGTTTAAACATGTTATGAAACTATATTATGAAAAATGATAAATCTGTGAAAAAGTCATTTGAGTCTGAATCTTCTTATATCTTCGTCTGAAGATGGCGCAACAGAATATGTAAATATTTATAAATCTTTGTAAAATATCTCTATTTATCTATTGAAGCTCTTTTATATTGGAAGATAAAATTCACAGATAATTGGTGGATACCTTTTACCTTTACGACCTAATTATCTAGTAATACAGACAATAGGTCTATCAAGTGAATGATTATTTAATGTAAACAAATTTACAATCATTTAACAAGAAAAATCGTTTGGATTCAGAGAAGGTTCATGCAAGTATCTGTCTCTGGACCTGGTATTCAGTGAGATTAATTGATAAACGTATAGATGATGAGGCTATTTGAATGAGAAAATTAAAGTAATTAATTATACGTAAAGATCTAGAAGATCGACAATAGTTAAATTTTTTTTTATTGGAAGTGTGCTGTAATTCGTCGATCAGCACAATCAGTTATGGAAGTTTGCGCGAATTCATATGTTCATCGATCCATTCTTCTGATTTCCGGATGTTATCATCTAGCAAAATCCAAAGAAAATCCACTTTAGAAGTGCCACCTGATGCAACCATAGTCTCTCGGAAAACCTTATTTGGCAGCTTCGATGGTAATGAGGATGACGAAATCAATAAGGATGCTGATATGGAAGATGCGAGGAAGAGATTTTTCGAAAGATTAGAAAGAGAAGTTGAGGTTTCCTGTATTAATGGTAAGATTTACTTTTATGATAAAGTGATCATACGAACTAATTTTAGATACGATTTATCAATTTGCCTTGAGTGTAGATGAGCGAAACGAAAATATAAATTCAGAAGAAGAAAAAGATGAAAATCAACAAGGTTGATTAATTATTTAATTTCTAAATATTATATATACTCTTTTATTGCACCGACATTTTAATACTTCGACTTTTTATTTGTAGTGTTTCGCTTGTTTGCGCATGCCCCACCCACCACAATTTCTTTAGAATCAAAAGATATCAATGATTATAATGATTATGTTCAATATGCGAGGAAAAACATTGAGAAGTCTAGAGATCAGAGGTACCGCATCATAAATATTACGATTTAAAATCGAAAAATCATTGGGAAATTAACTCATCATTAATTTAATTACTGTATATTACAGAGATGAATCAAAACGTCTAGAGCAAATCCACTCATCGGTGATAACCACCGAGCAAATACTTAAAGAATCAAAAATTCCATGGGAACGCAACTTTGTTTTGCACAAGGTCATCCATGTACCTAAACGTAAAAGAGAAATTAAGGTAAAAAAATCGAAAAGAAGGAAGAGTAAGAAGAGAAGGGACGCAGAGAGAAACGGTAAGTGGAAATTAAAGTATAATCTTTGTGAATTAGTTAAAAAAATGTCAATAACAATATTCTGGAAAGAAGGGTTAGTAAAGAAAAGTCATTCACCACATATAATGAAAGGGAATAGAGGCTATGCATATGGACGAAACCAGAATGAACCTCGGAGGTTTAGCAGTTTTAAAAAGCATTTTAATTATGGTCACAGGAATAGTAATATAAATTATGGTGAACAGAGACGAGAGGAGACAAAAGAATGGCGAGCCAGGTGATTGAAATAACAATTCAAGCGACCCTAAACAATAGCTTTTACTTTTCTCAGAGTTTTTTGAGTCCAATCTGAAAATTATTAAGAGTCATTCCAATTATATAATTTTAAGGAATTCCATGATCTAGATTAGATTCCTTTGGGTTTATATTAGTTTCTCGGTATTAAGATCCACACCTTACGATAAAATGTAAGGTCATAAAAGATTAACCTTCTCTCACATTGAAATCATCATCTGATAATGATCAAATGGTTTTGAATTTTATGAATTTATATACAGTATAAACGAAATATAATATAATTATTATCAAATTATTAAAAATTTAAACATCTACAGTATTTATTACTTGTGATATATATATATGTGGAAAAAGTTTAATCCACATCAGCCATTGTTTCAAAATAATATGTTATTACGTACGTATATAAGGGAAATCGGAAAATTAGATCCGTAACTTCGGGAAATACACTGGTTCTAAGGGTAGGAAGAATTCCAGGTAAATTTTCCTGAACTCTTGCATGTAATGATAGTAATTTCTGTTAAAGCATTATACTTAAAGCTATAGATATGGTATGAAAACAGACTGTAAACTATATACTGTAGGTAATTAGTATCAGTTGGCAAAAATCAATCGATTTCCATTCTATTTACGTATAGAAAATGTCAAGAAATAAAGACAAACCAGTAATTTCTAGAATGGACGAATAAAAGGCATTGCTAAGTGGTTTTCAAAACAACATCAAATACTTCATAATCAATAAAATATCCATCTGTCATTCTAATAGGACTTTCATAACCACCATTATCCCGTGCATAATATTTATTTCTGCTGCGACTGGGCATTAACGATAATGCAGGATGCCCAAAAGATGGTCCATATTTATCTTGTTCATTTTTTCCTCTGTTTAAAATTGCAAATTTTTTATCATGTACTCGGCTAATATATGAATCCGGGATATTTCCATTTTTCAATGAAAAAATAAAACTTTCGGTTGTTTCTATCCAAGATCCTTTGGTTTTCTTGTCCCATGTCATCGGATTATATCCTCCAAGAATTTCATCAGTTCCTTCTACCTTTAAAACGATCACTGTACGTATGTGACCATGGCTTATGTTCCAAAATGTTTTGGGATTAAATCCGTCACGACTTCCTCGTAATATTAATCGAAACTCGTATGGGTTATCTAGTGATGAATATAATGTCGACTTACGATCGATCCATGATGAAATTTCCGTGGCATGCTCATCATTAATTATAGTTGAAAAAGGTTCTTTAGCTACATCGGGCATCTTCGGAATAATAGTTGATCTTACGGGTAAGATGATTGAATTCACTGACCTATTTGGCGTAATTAACTTTTTCATTATGTCACTCCAGAGTTGTTCATCTAAAATCTTTTTATAGGGTTCTAGCTTATCAAGAACATCCTCTCCGCGTATTTGAAAATAACGAATGTGTGGTAAGCATCGTTGAAGAGTCACTTTTAGTCTCGCGAAATCCTCATCAGACCATTCTTCGAGTCTTAAAGGTAAGGTATAAATTTGGGCAACTCCCCACTGAATAACTTTATCCCAAATCTTTACTTCATCCATTTGTATATCATCTCTCTTGAGAATAGAAATTAATGCTGATTCTTTAATTGAAGTGAAGCCTTCCGAGTCAAATAAAAGACTAGGATATTTTACTATGATGTCGTTGCAAAAGTTTTCCAAGTTTTTAAAGTGGTTATTTTTATCAAATATGGAATGGTACACGTAAGAAAAGTGTGCGCGCAACCAGGAAGCTTTATTTTCAATAAGGTAAATTTCCAATTTTTCGCACAACTCTTCGAATTCAAATTCATCCGCAGATATCATTAAGTCAAAAACAAATCTATTTTCTGCATTTTCCAGGTTAATAACTCCACCATACGTATATCTATTTTATAAAAAAAAATGTTTTAATATATTTTAAGTAATATACTGTATATTGTAAAAATAAATTCATATACTTGAGGATAGCTTCGAATACTTTAGCAGAAGTATTAGGCTTAATGATTGTTTTAATTCGATTTTTATCCGTGGGTGTATTAGTAAGTTCTTTGCGAAAGTAGGGTGACCTATAGCGCAGTACCACCGAATGCGCAGTAAATGATTTCTTTTCAATTTCCTTGTCAACTTCAATAACTACATTGTATTCTTCTTTATCATTAAGCAATTCAGTAAAGTCTTTTGATAATTGAACTAGCATTTTTTTTTTAAAAAAAAAAACTTGTGCCCTAGAGATTGGAACCGTCAAACTAAAAAAATCCGGTTTACAATAAATTTGTCATACTGGATTTGATCTAAAATGATGTCATATTGATTTTTAGGGAACTTGTAACTAACACTACCTTTAATTACCAAATTATCCGATATTATAAATATTCAAATAATTAATTTTAAGCATTATAATAGTTGAGATTAAAAATTCATGTGCTATACACGATATACCGTATATCACTCTGTATTGTACTGTATACGATAAAAAATTTTTTTAAAAATTTTTTAAATAAATTATTGGATTAAATGATGCCATTTATTCATTCATTTATTATTGCAAGTAAGTTTTAAATATAAAATTTTATTAAGTTTATTGCCATTACATTAACTATCTTTTATATTGAAATACAAATTAATTACGACTTGTTATACTTAAACTAACATTATTAATTAATACTAAATATATTATTTATGATATCAATACTAAATATTAAACAATTGATTTTTATTCAAAACAATAAAATCATAAATAATTTTTTTTAATGAAATTAAATATATTTTATTTCTTTAATAAAAACAATATATAAATTATAAGGTTTAATGTTATGATAATTTATATAATCTATAAAATAAATCATAGATAAAATCAAAACAAAAATAATATAAAGTAATAATAATATTAATCAATTAACATACAAGATATTAGATTATAAAGTTAAATCTAAATATTAAAAACAATACACAAAAATTTATAATGATAACACTCAATCTGAAATTGTGATTTATATCATGAAATATTTAATTAAAATATATTCAATAAATATAAAAAATATATTTTTACAATAATATAAATCTTATAAATAATAACAAATATAAACTATTACAATATCTAAAAAATAATTATTAATTTTACAGATTAATTATTTATATCAAATACAAAAAAAATAAAAATAATAACAAGCAAAGTAATTTGAAAAACTTTTAAAATTATTTATTTACCTGTTGCTTAAAAACTATTATATAAGTTTTTAATTAAAAAAATATATTAAAATAAAATTTGAAGTTTAACATTTTTATTAATATATAATTAAATATTAGTTTTATTTTTATTATTTTAATTATTAATTAATATTTTTTTAATTGAATTTATAAGATTAATTATAATTTTATTTGAAATTTTCTTTTTATATTTTCAAATTTCAATTATTTTAATTTAAAAAAAGCTTGAAATAATTTTATTTTTATATTTACTTTAACAATAAATCAATGGAATTTAAATTTAAATAATTAAAAAAATCAATCAATAATTTTAAAAAATTTTATTAATATATTTAAAATTATTATTTTATTGAAAAGATTAATTATTTTCAAATAATTTTTTGATTTTTGATTGATTATTTTGCAAAATATTATTATAAAATTTTTTTATTTATAATTTTTAAATAACCTTTTAATTGATATTTCATTTTTATATTATTAAATAATTTAAATATTATTTTATTAAGAATTAATTTTTTTTTAATTATTATAAAGATATTTTTATATAATTTTTTTTTAAATAGGTAAATATTATTTCTTTATTATTATAAAAATTTTAAATTATTTTATATGCAAAAAGCAATAACATATATCATATAATCAATTAATCAATAAATCTAATATTAGCTTGCCTATAAAAACTATCTAAACAATATAAAAAATAAATATTAAACTGGTATATATCTTAAATAGTGCTGAGCAACTATGAATATCTACTTGGATTTATATATAAGATTATAAGAAATAAAAAATTAAAAAAAAAAAATACCAAAGTTATGAATGCTTTAAATAAAATTACTAGACATGTTATATTAATAGTTTCATTTAATTAAATTATAATAGTTGTACTTCCAGAAATAATCAAGATACTGTTCAAAGTATATAATAATATTAGTAATATATTTTTTTGATAGGTAATTGGTCATGATAATAATATTATTGTTATAGTAATATGATTTGTAATTGGTTTGTTTATTGATAATATGATTTGTAATTGATTTGTTTATTGATAATATGATTTTGTTTTGATTATTATTACTATAAAAGATTTTGTTTATATTAATCAAAATATGATGTTTTAATTATATGAATTTGTTTAAAAAATTCATAATATTTGATTAATTAAGTTTGAAATATTGATCAATTAACAAAAATAAACTAATTATAATTTTTTGAATTTTTTAGTTTTTGATAATATAACAAAGTATACTAAATAATAATAAGAAGTAAACATTGAATATATTGTTAATATTTCAAGTTAACAATGTAAACAATTTTAATATAAAGTCTGATTTTTTGAAATGAAAGAAAGTTCTGTAAGCAAAAAAATAATTATTTAAAAAGATTTATATATTGAAAAAAAGAAAAAATAGAAAAAACAATCTATAGATATATAGCATAATAGTAATATTATATAGGTTACCAAAAATAGATCTAGGATTCAAATCCACCTGATTATAAAAATGGAACCTTTAATTTATTCAATAATTATGAGTTAAAAACAGATCAAAGTAATAAAGATTATTCAAAGTAATAAAGATTATTCAAAAAAAAACTTTTGATCTAACTTTGGTAATAAGCTCACAAACTTCAATTCAAAATTAGTAATAGCAGATTTTATTATATAATATAAAGAGATTAATTTAAACTAATTTATCCCAATATAAAGCTTGAAAATTTATTTCAAGAGTAATATTTTTTGAATTTAAATAGACCGAAAAAGC